ATCTTGTACACCTATGTATACTAAACTATACAAGAGTACTCAGAGAATATGAGCCACTAAGAATGATGAGCCACAAAGAATGAAAGAAAGGAAGATCCAAGATAAAGGTACAAAGAATGAAGGGATAGACAAAGGGTAAGAGACTATAGAATGAACAAAGAATGAAAGGGTGGTCAAAGGGACAGAATGATAAAGTAAGGAGGGGTAGTAGTAAGAGTCAGCCTGTATATAGTCTATAGACAGTACTTCTAAAGGATGGAAGTCCTGAGTTCTAGTACAGAAGGGTGTAGAACCCTCAGAACTGAAGGTGTAAGAGTAGAGAACCATAACACTGTGTCCTTATTTTATTGTATTAAACTCTTTCCTAAGTATTTCTACAAAGTTAGATAGGAAACAAAAGTCTATTAGACTTTTAAAGAATTGTAATAAGGTCTATCAAGATTTGTTCATACCTATTTTCTGTAGATAGAAGTCTATAGCTTATCCTTTAATAAAATTAGGTAGTACTCTCACTTGTTCTTTAGGGAAATAATGTAAACCTGATTGTTTCATGTACTAATTAACTTCCATAACAAACATAGTGTATCTTTAAAGGTTAGGTTCACCTGAATAAACTGTAGGAACAATAGGTTTTGTACTCTACATCTGTATCTTCAATTTGAGAAGTTCCTTGTTCTATTTCTTCTTAGTAAGCTTTTTACACTTCTTAGTACCTTCAGAGTCACTTGAATCAATGTCTGTAGGTTTGAATAATGTATTACTATCATTGTCATTGTTAGAACTCAAGTATCTACTTGAATCCAAAGGATCTAAAGAGCTATTGTCTGGATCTAAGTTAGGATTCTATCTTTTTATAATTTCTACTCTCTGTATTATACAATTCACATAACTCTCTCTTGTAAGGTTGTCTGAGAGTCTTACTAATGTGAATCTACTTGTCTGTAGTGTATTCAAGCTTTGTGGCTTAGTAGTATCTTGTGTGGTTCTTTTTCTGTAGCCTTTACTATTCTTATCTGTATTATACTTGATAGAGAGTACAGAACTGTAGCAGAAATTCTTTTCTTCAATCTCTTTACCTTTCACAGTTTCTGATTTGTCTTTACTGTTATTAGAGGTATCTAAAACTGTAAGTTTTATGTCTAGGTTTAGTCTATTCATTTTAATATTGTGTTTCACACTAGGTGTATATAGTAATTCTTAAACATTAGTATAATAGTACATATATGTAAGTATTTTATTCTGTAATACATCTCCTTACTCTACTAGAGTGTTATATCTGTTATAGTAGTCCTTGCCTTGATTTTCTATCTTAGGGAAATATGTTTCTTGCTTAAAACAAACTAGTAATTCCTGAGGAGTTCTGAGAGCCTTACTATAACCTTTATTTCTAAAATTCTATTGTCCTGATTCTGTATTTTGTCTGTACTCTATCTCTTAAAAATACATTCTTTGTACATTAGAATCTACTTTACTAGAACTGTCTAGTTCTACCTGACTATAATTACAAATGTCTAGAGCTTTTCCTTTATTTGCTCTTACACTTTTCTTATTACTAGGTACAGGTTTACCTAAGTCTTTCTTTTAAGAACATGTGCTTTCAAACTGTAGAGTATCCTTCAATCATTTGAGCATTCTTTTAGTAGCTTCTAAGTATTAAGGACATATTTTCTAATACATTCATTCAGCTAAATTGTCTCTAGTTAGTTTAGATAGATTGATTGTGTTTAAATTAATGTTTCCTTTATATTCCTAATACATACTATTATACTTATGAGTTCTCTTGTTTAATTCCTTAATATCAGTTCCTTGATTGAATGGACTAGCTAGTCTACTCATAGCTTTCAGTGTCTCTAGCCTAGGAATGTTTCTGAATGTCTTTCTAACCTTCTAGAACATTTTCTACTATAAGAAAAGTATTATTCCTTTACTAATACTCTTGTTCTTACTGACAGAATCCTTAATACCAGTTTCCTGAGTGTTTACACTCTCTATACTACTATTCTCTACTTCTGTAAGCCTAGTAAGGTAAGGACTTACTAGTGTCTACTCTATAGTATGTACTAGTCTAACTATATGTACTAGTACAAGTACATACCTTTGTTCTACATTACTTGTATATAATAGTTCATTAGAGTGTCTCTAGCCTTGTATAAACAAGAACTTATCACCTAGTAAAGGGTCATCAGATTGTCTCTAGTTTACAGTAAATAAGGACTTATTCTCTAGTATATTAATAACAACTTCCAGACTTGAGAGCCCTTCTAGGATTGTCTACTAAGGCTTAGTAACTACATTATGTTTAGTACACAATAGATAATCTTGTTGTCTATTGTTTATATACTCTGTTAATTTGAAATCTGTAGTGTGTACTGTTTTGAATCTCTCTATATTCAGGGAAAGCTACTCTTTAGTACTTCTGAATAATGCTTACCTCTTATAATATTAACAAGAAGGTTTCTCTACATTGAGGGGAATAATCTGTTTATGTCTCTCAAGCATTCTGAGTGTCCTAGTAGTCATAGTAAGAGTATATGTGTCTCTAATTTAGATTTGCAAACTACTCACTTGCTTCTTTGAATTTGTAGAAGTACTAGACAATGTGAGGAATGTATTAGAGTAATTAAGCCCTCAGTTCTGGTTGTCAAAGCCTAGCAGGTTTATAGAAAGGTGAGTTCAGTCAAAAATGTGTAAGGATAGGTATACTAACCTTACACAAAGATTCTCTCTTTACTAGTACACTCAACTACTAACTAGGATAACCTAGTAATTAAGTACTAAGAAGGAGAAAGAGTCTCCTAACCCTTAGCTCAAAAACCCTTTATATATACATATACACATGTAGTAGGATACAGAGTAGTCTAGTAAACAAAAAGAAAACACTTACAAGTACTTACAACACATGTAGTACAAATGTACAGGTAGTACAATTGTTACAGTATACAAATGTATAGAAACATTAAAGAAGTCATTCAGTATTAGTTAACAATGTGGATGTATGAATACAAATGCAAAAAGAAAGGCAAGTGTAAACAAAGGAGTACAACAAAGGAGAGGTAATACAAGTGACAGAGTAAGGAGTAGGAGGGGTAAAAGAGAGACAAAAAGTTGGGAGGAGAGGGATAAGCAACTATTGTGTAAGTTATTATAAAGTGGACTGGCTACTTACACTTTATAATGAAGGCTAGTATAGCTAGCTCAGTTGTGTTATTACAGGATCTGAGGCTTAGTACAGGCATTATAGTAACAGATTAGAGAGACAAATACAGTAATACTTATTGTCTAGATGACTGTAAACACTGTGCCTGCTAGAAGATGCTTGTAGGCAGAGAACTAGGCTAGAGAGAACAGAAGAGACAACATAATGTTGGAGGAAGAGGATTAGGGAGATAGTAGAGGTAGGAGGGAAAGGAGTAACAAGAGCAAGTGTATCATTATAATTTATATGCTCTCAATCTTCTGTACTTGATTATGTAATCACATCAATATATAGTTTTAAAATAAAACTAAATTATATTATAAGCCTAACAGGGTGATTGTTAACAATATTAATATATATAATCACATATTATCTTACTAAAAGTATTATAATTAACTTACAAGTACAATGTATTACTTTTATGACTATTATAATCAATCAACTATTATTACAAATATCTTATAATATAATTTTAGTATATTATAATAAGAGTTGAGCACTTGTATCTCACATGTAATGTTGTAATAATACTATTAGTAAGCTTACTTACTCTAAAACATGTTTGTAGTTTAATAGAAACTTTGTATATTTCTTACATTTATATACAATCATTATAATTACATTATAAGTAAAATATAAGTGTTATTTTAGAATGTAATGCTTATGAAATCATTTTATTAGATTACTTTTGCTATTATTAAATACATTTGTTACAACTTTTTCATAATAGTAAGACTAAATACTATGACCTGTACTGATAATTGTTTCAGAGAACAATAACCCTAATCATATTACTATATAGTAGGAATCAATATACACTAGTAAACATCTTCTTTGTCATAATATTAGGTTCAAGTTGGAACTAATTACTAATGAACAGACAACAGATTTTGTTACTACATGCTTCTAATCAGCTAATGCTTCTCCTTCTTCTGATGCACACTTTGGATAGATTAGTATTCATAGGTGTTAATTAAAGATTGAGTTTCTGATACTGTATAATACTATATAATATCTAATACTGTTACCTACATCTGATAGAAGCATCACTTATTGTATGGACCATGTAATAGAGGCAATTCTGCTCTGTGAGGACAATCATTGTGTTAAAAAGGTATTTAATTGAGTCCATTGTAAATACATGGTTGCTTTATAAACATGAGTAACTAATCTGTATATACTAGTATGACAAACTGAGATCCTCTTTCTATCCTATACATATTATTTATACTAAGAGAAAAGAATTGTCCAAATTCAATATACTTTTGCAGACCATTGCCTCCAACATAAGGCTTGAATAAACAATCATAGCTTGTATATATGACTAGCACTTACTAAGTGACCACAGTAGTAGAGGATCGTGTATAGGACGAATGATCAACACACTTCTGCATTTTACAACACATTAGACTAGACACATTGCATATAAAGGGTTTTTGAATTCATGCTCAGATTGTTAAAGTCAGAGCCAACCTTAATATCAATCTCACAATGCCGAGCCAGTCTTGTTGGAGGCCGTAGATAAACACCATTCGTAGCAGCTATATCAATCTCAGTGTCACCAAGCCAAAGTCTGATACATTGATAGAGGCTCCTTCTTCTAGAGGGGCTACAATCATCTCAAAATACATAGTTTTTTGTTGTGTATCCACTTCCGAGCGAGTTCACAGATCAGTCCATTATTGATGTAGACTTCAGGGTCGTCCAATTAACAAAAACAAACACTTAGGACAAGGACACGAACAAAGACAAAACTCGCACAAAATAAAGCACACAAACCTAGGCCTGATGGAAACAAAGCTCACCGGTCTGACTGCAAAGACTAATACTCTGACACATCAGACAGCGAAACATAATCCGATCTGGAAGTATCGTCGCCTATTCCGGACGACTCTCTCCCTCCATACCCACCCCCATAGCTGTTTCTCCCATCCCGTCCTCTCGTGCCCGTCTTTACGGCTCCTCTACCCACATCTTCAACGCCTTCAAGTGACTCCTCTTCTACCTCTTCATCATCAAGGATATCGTCCTCAATGACCTCAGGAGGGGGATAGCCATACTCATCCAACACAGCTCGCATAGCGTAAGCAACGATTGGAGTTGTAGGGTGAAGCGTCGGTCCCAATCCGTCAGCAAGCCCGACGCCGTCTTTCGATTCCACGTCCATATGATCCTCACGTTGTTTTCCCCATACATACGAACGTGCGCGCGAGCGGTATTGTGCATGGAGGAGATTATGCGAAGGAGAGGGAGAAGCGATCCGTACGTGATCTTGTTCTTGTGAATCGGGTTGATCGGGTGAGTAGAATAACGGCGGTGAAGGAGGTGGCGGAGACATATGGACAGGAGCGGTAACGTGATGAGGGGGATTGGAAGGATGAAACGTCATCGAAGACGACCCAGCAAGCAACGTTGATGATGGTTCACCAGGTGGAATAGCAGATGAATCGACGTGAAGCGAGTGAGGCAAAGGAGATCCTTCCTGCGTGACAGGCTCGGCCCATCTCAGCTCCAATATTCTTGCACGGATCATATCATCCACAGTCTTTATACCCATCTCGCGGCACAATGCAAAATACCTCAACGAAGCGCCTCCACCTTCTGCCCTATCCTCAGCCGATCCCATTCCGGGCCCAGCATCAGCCTTCCGTTCACCTGTCTCTGAGTCTGCAATGGTTATCGGTCGTTCAGGATACGATGTCTGAGTTGGAGGAACAGATGTAGAGGTAGAGGGGGAGGAGGAAGGAGCCAGACGATGCATAACCTCCAATAACTGCATCGCCGTAAACGCCGGCCTCGCTTCTTCTTCACCCATACTCTCCGTGATTGGAGAGTAAATCTTAAATCCCTTTCCACTTCTCTTTAAAGCTCGATCCCTTATGGATAGCCTCCACTTTGACCTTGACCGTTCATGGACCCGGTCACGAGGTGGATCGAGGTGCTCCTGGTCCTCCGCATTATCACCCCCAGCCCCCTCCTCGGCCTCAGTAGCGTGGAGGAGCTGAAGGTTAAGCAACGTGTATGCTTGCAGGAAATGACTGCTTCTCTCAACTAGTGGTAAAGTGAAATGCATTCAAATAAATGTCCGGATGAAGTATCGGAAGAAATGTAGAGATTTAGCCACCTTTCTCGTGTAGCCGATATAAATAGAACTAAAGACTTACTCGGGAGGTTTCCATCGGCATTAACTGAAAACGAAATATCTCCGTCAGTGTGCTCATAACATAAACGACAGAGTCTCTAGATTATACTCACCCCAATCATCTACAAAGTCAGACCAGTGAACAAGCTTCCCACCAAACGCAGCATATAACCTCTCAAACATCTCCTCCTTATCTTCTTCTGAGGGAGGAAGGAGGTGCGAAGGGATAGTAGGGAGGAGTTTCTCGAAGAAATAAGTATGTGCCTCGTGTCTGGAGCAATCCCCGATGCAGATTATCTAAATGCGTGTGAATATTTGCAGTATGAGAAATTGGACTAATTATATATAAAATCTGGAAAAGGAGATGAGTGTACCTTGCAATGTTGCATGATATTCAGTCCTCTTAGCCATGTTTGATAAAAGCCATCACTGGTTGCATGAACGACGTGACAAAGGCGATCCTGCTTCGTGAGCACAAGCATCGCGTCAAGAAGGCATTTCATTGCCTCTGTCGAGCGAATAAGCGCAGGACTACAGATTTTAAGCAGTGAGCCTGACGACGTGCCCAACTCTAGGGGAGAGTTCGACATACAGTTTATGTGCCTCGTCGAAGAAAATAACGGGTATACGTTTCTTCGGGAGTAAATCCTTCTTCTCTCCTGCTGAACTCTCTTCGCCATTTACTGGAGTTTCGCATTTCTGCTCGGCGGGTGGACCAACCTTTTCAGTTATTTGCCCGCTCTCCTCTTGTGCAGCCGTGTTCGCATCGGGATTTGCGTTCGCGCTCCCAGGAGCAACTTTTGTCTCCTCCGACTCCGCACTCCCCTCTGCAGTTCCTTCTTTTCGTTCTCGCCTCTTGAATGTTCCAATCCGCCGCACCGAGTTCCCGATCCGAGAATGGTTGTTCTGAGGAGGCGAAGACTCGGCCTGGGATGAAGGGGGGAGAGCAGGTTTAAATTGCCAATAGTGTAGAAGGGCACTTTGAAAGAGCTCCATAAGACGCGCGATGTCGCTTGTCTTGATCGAATCCAAATCCGAGCGTTCGACGTTCAGTCTATCATGCTACCGAACAGTCAATTAACTGATGATATCGAAAACGGGGATAAGCAATAGCCCACCTTGAATGTCCATGCTTCTTTCCTAAACTCTTCAAACCCCTGCGTATTCGCCAACTCGTCGAAGTATGCCTCCATACTCCGGCTCAAGCTCCCATAAAGACTTCCTAAATCCGCAAATCCAGCAATCCTGAGATCGAAGTGCAACACATGGTACCTTTCATTGCTCAACACTTCTCTCAGTAGCGCTGTCTTGCCGACAGAAGAGGCACCAGTAAGGATGGTGAATGAGGGGTGACCCTCAAACGTTTTCCTTAGGAGGGCGAGCTCAGCTGGACGGGGAAAGAAGAAGGATGCAGGGAGGGGAGAGAAAGTGTGTGTGGTGGGAAGCTGGGACCGCTCGCGAGCTTCGCGGATCTCGGTCCGGGCTTCTTCGAGGGATCGACGGGCCTCGGTTAGCGAACGGAGGGTCTCCCCCGGCTAAGTCCACACAAACAATCAACCCAAACTCATTAGTAAAAGACAGCGTCCGACAAAGCAGGAAAACAAGGGCAAAGAGGTACACGAACATTTGCAAGAACAGAAAGGACCTCTCCGAAACCAAAGAGATTACGTTTCTGGACGGAGGGAAGTGGTATCCCGCGCCGAGGAGGCAAGTTGGAGCGAAATATCCATGAAAAGGTGTCCAATGCATGTCTACTTCTCCCGGAGGTGCGCGAAGAGGAGGAGACGAGGGACGAGCGTTTCATCGCTACGAAACTCTATGAACAACCTCAACGAGCACGGCTACGCGAAGGGGAAACTGAGACCGAGGAAGACTGGAGGAGGGTGCAGAAGAACCCGTGCAGGCGGCGCACGTCCGCAGGCCCGGAGAAAAAATATAGAGCGAGTTGCTCGGATGAGAGACACGCGACGACCTGCCGTACATCGTCGTCGAACACGCCCGTTTCGCGTTTTGCCAGGCATACAGCCATGCATTCACCATGACGTACACGACCGAATGGACATTAGACACGCTGCGTCACACTCGTCACATGTCGCTCTTTCATTGATTACGTATGGTGCACAAAGAGAGTGTACATAGACGCCCACTTGCCCGATCTGGGTCATCGATAAGGTCAAAGGCCCCCAGGCGTCACGGTACTCCCCTGAGCCACCGTACAGGCCTTTCATCGCATCGCACAACAAGACCATGCTCTCTTAAACACCGCCTTTCATCTCGCTTCCTCTTTCTTTCATTTCTCGTCTCAGTTCTGCCCTTTTAACTGAAGCATTCACCCACTCATCTATTTTCCAGCGCATACACACACACTAAGCAAACACAATCACTCTCAGACATGTCCTATCGCGGTGACAGAGGCGGTCGCGGCGGCCGAGGAGGCGGTGATAGAGGTGGCTTCCGTGGCCGAGGAGGAGGCGGCGATTTTAGAGGAGGTGACAGAGGAAGGGGACGTGGAGGCGGTGGTGGACGTGGAGGAGCCCGTGAACCTGGCGGGTTCGTGCTTTATCATTCGCTTTCACTGCTTTTTCGTCGTGTCTGATTCATCTCAACTCCATAGTATCTTCTCAGCTCCAGACCAGCCAAGCGCTGTCGACTCGCGTCTTGCACAGCAGGACCAGGAGGCTCTTGTATCCACTTTCCGTAATGTCTCCCTGACGCCGACAGACCTGCCCCTCCGTCCCGGCTGGGGAACGAGCGGCAAGGCAATCAAACTCCGCACCAATTTCTTCGCCGTGCGCGTGCCCAAAGGTCCACTGTGTGAATATGATGTCAAGATCACCCCAGCCGTCTCCGTAAAGCGCGTCAAGCGCAGAATCTTCGATCTCCTTGAACAGGTGCCTGAATATCAGAGGTACAAGGGTGGCGTCGCTCATGATTTCAGCGCGAAGCTTATCGCCGTCCGGAGGCTGCCCCAGCCGATATCATTCACGGTGCCATATACCGAAGAAGACGGTGCTTCACGCACGGGAAAAAAGGGCGAGAAGAAAGAATATGTGGTCGAGATGAATTTCATCCAGGATATCGATCTATCCGTGCTTACAGGGTTCCTTTCTGGAGACCCGTCATGCCGCTCACTGGACATCGCGCCTATCCTTTCCGCACTAAATATTGTCCTTGCCCAGCATCCATCGCGTAACGGTGTCATGGTTGGCCGGAATCGCTTCTTCTTCCCCCATGAAAACTTTAACCTCGGCGGAGGCCTTGAAGCATGGAAAGGCTTCTACTCCTCCGTTCGTCCCGCATACAAGCAACTTATGGTGAACGTCAACGTTGCGACGACTGCTTTCTACTCAGAAGGTAATCTAGCGAACGCGATGATTGAGTTCCGCAATGCGACGTACGGCGGCAGGATCGACCAGTTTGTGCGCGGTGTGAGAGTTCAGACGACCCATTTAGGACATAAGAAATCCGTGAAGAGGGCGTCAACCCTTACCGCGCGTACCTACAAATTCAAATGGGACGAGGCAGGAGGGCAACAAATCAGCGTCGAAGAATATTTCCAGAAAAGTTTGTCTTCTTTTTTTTCCCCGATAAGGTATTGTTGTTGTTGACTTGATACATAGAATATGGCCTCCGACTTCAACATCCCGACATGCCGCTTATTGACGTCGGCGGCACGAAGGCGAACCTCCTTCCACCCGAAGTCTGCCAAATCCTTCCCGGTCAACCCTTCCGGGGAAAACTCGCAGATGAGCATACTTCCCAGATGATCCTCCATGCATGCAAGCCTCCCAATGTCAACGCGCGTGCTATTGTCGGTCCGGGATTGACCTCACTCGGGTTCAAGAATGACGAAACCCCGCTTCCTGGATTCGGGATTAAGATTTCGGGCCAGATGGCCGTTGTGCCAGCACGCATCCTCTCTCCGCCGAGGGTGATGTATGCCCAGAAGGCTCAAGAAATCGATATACGCGCGAGCTGGAATTTACGTGCAGTCAGGTTCTCAAGGGGTTCCTCGTTGCAAAACTGGGCTGTCCTGCTCATCCGCGACGGGAACAATCGCTCCGAATTCCAGGGTATAAATGACCCGGAGTTGAGGAAGACGATCAACGGATTCTCCAAGATGTGCAGCACGAGTGGAATGAGTGTGCGCAATGATCCGAGGTACACCGAGGCTGTAATGCCCCCAAGGTCGCGCGAGGACCCGACTCGTAAATCCGCGATCGCACAGATCCGTAACGCCATTACTGGCCTCAGACCGAAAGTTGACCTAATCCTTGTCATCCTCTCCAATGGGGATAAGCACATATATTCCGGACTCAAACACCTCTGCGACGTCTATCTTGATGTGCATACAGTCTGTGTACACGCTGAGAAGATCCGGAAGGACAAAGGGCAATTGCAGTATTTCGCAAATGTCGCTCTGAAGGTGAACATGAAGCTGGGAGGGGTGAATCATGGATTAGACCCTGAGAGCATGACGTGGCTGAGGAGCGAACCGACAATGCTTGTCGGTATGGATGTTACCCACCCCGGACCTGGTAGTCTGAAGGGAACGCCGAGTATTGCTGCAGTCGTAGCCAGCATTGATGAGCACTATGCACAGTTCCCCGCGAGTATGAGGATCCAAGAAACGAGGAAGGAGGTGTGCTTTATTTTATTCCTTTTACCTGACAGTTTTACTCACCAAGGCATGTTCTGCAATAGATGATCACTTGCTTGAAGGAGATGATGATTGAGCGCATTGAGGGATTCCGCGAGAAGTCTCGGAACCTCCTTCCGAATCGTATTCTCGTATACCGCGATGGTGTCTCCGAGGTACATCATTTCCATCTTGCATTACCCCGTCACTTTACCCTAACACTTCTTTTACTCATAGGGTCAATATTCAACCGTTGTGAAAGAAGAAATGCCCCAGATCATCGATGCCTTCCGAAAATTCGACACAGCTGCTAAACCATATCGTCCAAAACTCACCATCGTTATCTGTGGCAAACGTCACCACACGCGATTCTACCCGACTGAAACCTCCGATGCTGACCAGCTCGGTAACCCTCGCCCCGGAACGGTAGTCGATCAAGGCGTTACAGGTGTCTACGCCTTCGACTTCTTCCTCCAAGCTCACGGTGGTCTCCAGGGCACTACAAGGCCTACACACTACTTTGTCGTGCACGATGAAAATAACTTTTCAGCGAACGCACTCCAGCAACTTACTAACGACGTGTCATACATGTTCGCTAGGGCGACGAAAGCGGTGTCGCTTGTCAGTCCAGCGTACTATGCGGATTTAGCTTGTGAGAGGGGCAGGTGCTATATACATGAGCTGTTGCAGGCTGTAGAGAGCAACACGACGAGCAGTGGGAACGAGGAGAGTGTGATGAGGACTGCGACAAACCTCTGGAGAGGAGGTGTCCAAGGCCCTCTTTTGAAGAATACAATGTTCTACCTGTGAAGAGCAATGGCTCTTGAGGAGAGACGAAACGAGATGAAGGGAAGAGTAGACAAGAGAAAGGGGTAAGAAGAGAGGAGAATAAGGAGAGAAGAGTGTGCCGCGGGACGGCACTGCGGATCTAGGAAAAGGTCGATACTTATTCAGAAACGCTAACGCCTATTGTGACTTGGTGATTTTATCAAGTGAAAGTGAAATCTATTTGAAGAGGATCTATTCTTACTACCTTGTAGTACTAACTTGGTGTACGAGATACAGTGTTTTGTCCTGCCTTGCTTTCCTGTCATGTTAACTGTTCGTTCCTTCGATGTTGTTAAAATTATCTAGTCAGAAATGAAAATTAGGTCACTTGTGGTTTGACTGTAGGTGTGAATGCTCAGTAGCAGCATATATATATATATGATTGCCTTGAATTTTTGGTTTGAGACTGACATAGCTTCTTGAGAAGTAAAACCCTGGTGAACCATTATGAAAGCTATACATAATGGAGTATGTCATTCTGCCATCCGTATCTAAATAAGATTGCATCTTAATTTCGTATGCCCTTAACGTTTTAGTACTCTCGCGAAGAAGGGCATGTAAAAGCTGTAGGGATTAGATCAAGTTCATCGCAATCGAGATAGAATAACCAGTGTGAGTTTCATAGAGTTATGTCACAGCATTATCTTGATTTCTTTTGCTACGAACGCCTCCACGCTTATGCTTTATTGAGTAATTATGACCTATAACAGACGTCCCTTGTGCAACTGTTATTTTCCAATCACATCTTGGAGTTGCGTCGTTGGAATGGCAGCAGGGAAGGCCCTTCTCTGCAAACGCGTCTTCGTCTTTTGCTCATAGGCAAACGCAAATCCGATCAAGTCAAATTCGCTGAAAGCAGTTCCGAGGAAAGATAACCCAAGGGGAACGCCAGGTGCGGGATAGACTGTGAGAGGTCCTGCACTTTGTATCGTCACATTATCCGGATAGAATCCGAGAGGGACGGTGACGATTGGGTAACCGGCGATGGCTGCGTTAAATGGATTGTTAAATTGTTTCTGAGTAAGAGGGCATGGTCGGTGTTCTATTCGGAAACTAACCTGCTGGTACTGTTGTAAATCCAGGAGCAGGAAGGATAAGTGCGTCGAGGTTATGCGCTTGAAGGACGGCATCAATCCCTCTCGTTGCGCCCAAGTCTTTGTCGAAAGCAAGCGATTGGAAGTATGTGGAGCTGAATCCGTTCGTTGCCTCCGATTCAATAAGCCTACAGTAAAATGATTCGTTAAATTTGTTACCATGAGTAAGCTGTATAGAACTCGTTCAGCTCACTCGGACTGGTCGGTGAAGTCGGTTGGTTCTTCAAGAGATGGATTGTTATTGTCGAAGGCGATCAGATCTGCGAGACTGCGGACACCACTAGGATTTTCAAGCAGTGCTTCAAAGTAAGCATTCAATTGGACCTGTAAATGGATTTAAAAACTGCACGTTTCATACGAAGGTATGATCGAAGGCACACCTTAAAGTCGATATCAAGTACAATCGTCTCGTTGTTGCTCACGGCTATCTCGTCTGCACTTGGTAGATCAGCAGGGTCAACTACGGTTGCCCCGAGACCTTTAATCGTCTCGATTGCTTGCTCAAACACTTGGTTCACGAACGGATCGTTTCCCGTGATGCTATCGTTCAAGAAGACGCGACGTGGGACACCGATACGAGCACCGCTGAGTGCATCCTTATTAAGTGCACGTGTAAAGTCCGGAACGGGGGATGGCTGAGCGAGAGTGAAGTTGTCGTTCGGATCTGGACCAGCAATAACGGACAGAACTATGGCTGCATCGGAGACAGATCGTGTCATTGGCCCGACTGTATCTTGGTGCTCGGAAATGGGTACAACTAAGATTATAAGAATCATAATGAGAATTAATGACTGGCCATATATGCAGCACTTATTACCTCCAGCTCGAGAAGTCAAACCAACACTCGGTTTGATCCCAGCTAGATTATTGTTACTAGTTGGGCATGTAATACTCCCGTCGGTTTCCGTTCCAAGGGTCACTGCGGCAAGGCCAATCGACGCTGCGATCCCGGAACCGGAGGAAGAACCGCACGGGTCGGCATTAGGGAAGTACGCATTCGTCGATTGTCCTCCGCGGCCGGACCAACCAGATGCGAGATTACCTCTGAAATGAGCCCATTCTGAGAGATTGGCTTTCCCTTATGATGGCGGGAGTATGAGACTCTCTGTGCTTGGAAAAATAACATTTACAGTAACATTCGCATTCGACTTACCAAGAATGATTGCCCCGGCTGCTCGAAGTTTCTTGATGACTCCTGCATCGTCTGGTACGATTGATTTCAAGAGAGAAAAGGATCCGGCTGTCGTGTTCATCCCTGAAGTCCACACAGATATAAAGAACAACAATTTTTTCGAATGTATGTTGCATACCTTCAGACGCAACTGTTGCGATATTATCTTTGACGAGAACCGGAATACCATGCAACAAACTGCGAGGACCGCTTTCCTTTCTCTCAGCATCGAGTGCTTGTGCTTGAGCTATTGCTGACGGGTTCGTCTCCAGAACCGCCCGGAGAGCCGGCCCCTGAAGGTTAACTTCTTCTATCCGTGCGAAGTAGGCCTTTTGGTGAGAAGATATAATTAATTTGATATTCAGGACTCATCCTCTCCCCAATAGACAACCTACTTACTTGAACAAGGTCGACACTGGAGAAGTCCCCTTGCTCAAGACCATTTTGTAATTCGAGCACGGATGCTTCATATAGATCAGGGAATTTTGTAGAACGTACGACAGCGTCCGAGACCTGAAAGCAGAATGCAAATGGCACGAATCGGGCGATGGATAGAAGTCCGAGTGCTGCAGCGAGTAATTTCATTGCGAAAATCTCGACTGAGAAGTTGGGGCCTCTTCAGTATGCTCCTGTGCACATACCAGTCATTATAAATATACATTTACGGAGTTTCAAGCGATTTGCGATTCGACGGTCGCAATTTCCGCTTATCGCACAAATATAATCGAGAGCATGAGGGCTCATATTGGGGGAAGTCGTTCTCCACCAAATTGGTAATTCGTCCCACACGTCCGCTTCCCTGTTCTTTCCCGCTCTCTGCCTTCTGATCGAGGTCATTTGACATAAAATGCACGGAACGGGCTTCTCGAGCTGATTACGCTCTGTTCTGCAACTGAGTTCCTTGTAATTATTTGTTCGTGAGAAAAGGCACTGCTTTGCAGAATAATTGGATTGATATTCATGTCGGGGCTTGTTTGGCAGATGAATGCGGTCAGCCTTCTTGCTCTCCTTTTCGAACATGATAATATCATGCTAGCAATACTTCAGTCGTTGGCAGTCTTTGAGGATTGCATAGATTGACTACGTCGAGTTGAGGGGCGCGCCTCTGCTTGCAAAGCATATTGTGTTAGCGCATGCATCCGCACTTACTGTAAGTCCGACCTACAATGAATGAATCCAGATTACTCAAGTCTGGCCCAGTGTCCTGTGAGTGGTTGTATGATCGATACGGAGGATATTTAAGTATCAACTTCAAGAGTCAAGACACTTGGAAGATCGAGATCGACGGCTTGAGAATCGTACTCAGCAAACACGGGGCACGTAGTAGATACACGGCGTATACTTCACGCAACGTCAACGTACATGTACTACTAGAATTAGACACATTATGTGCCATCTTACATGTTTTCTATTGTACCTAATAATGCTCCAAATCGGATGAAGATAAAATAAGCATGTATATTGATACAGATTCATACTAGGTCTATTCCTGCCGCTCCAAAAATCCTACACCCCCCGCTTGAATTTTCGCCACGAAACTTTCGTACCATCGCGTTATCGCACTCATCTGGATATATGTTTCTGGTGTCATCACGCCTCCAGGAGGTACAGCAAAGCTCGAAATGAAGTTGAATAGGTGTTTGACGATTTTCTCCGCCAGCACAGTTGGATCGGATAGAGCAGAGGCGGAGGACCTGGGCGCAACTGCAGCAGAGGGGATCGAGGCAAGCTGTGCTTGAATAACAGAAAGGGGCTCAACTGCAATGCCGAGTATTGCGGTCTCGCCTGTTGAAGCAACGCCATCGGACATGCCATTGTTTGGATCTTGGAACGCAGAACGGTTGAGGGTTGTCGTCGAACTGAACGTGCCTCGCACTCGAAAGATCGCGGACGGCTTATCGTTAGATAATCTTAAAGGGCAAAAGAATATCAGCTTTATTATAGACCGAAACGAGAGTTATGTACACATACGCTCCGAGAAGCTGGAAGCCCTTGCCCGGCCAATGCAAATGCACCGTTGCACCATAACCATCAGGGAAAGGCACTGTCAAGACGCGTCAACGTATGATGAATACATTTTCCAGAAGGGCCGACCACGGCACGCACCTGTCCCCAACAGGAAGACACAGATATGATTGATCGTCGATACAGACGGCAGCTCAAACGTTGCATGGGTCTCGTCGATTTGCTGCATGTTTGTCTGGACGAGGCGGCCCGCAACGACGCAACCAAACATTTTCTCGCTCTCCTTTTGGTCTTAGGAAGGATGCGACTGGTTCTTGTAAGTAATAAATGTGTTCTCCCAGTGCGTTTAAATGTAAGGCGCGTGGTAGGCAGCAGTGGAGTCAGTTCTGCGTGCTGCAGGCATGGTGTATGAGGTGAAGACGCGTTCTGCCAAATCGAGAAATCTCTCGAACTTACCATCATCATCATCTTCTTGTTCTTCTTGTTCTTCATCTCTTTACCACTGACCAAAAAGTTACTGCTGAGACCGCGCTTCGTCTTGAATTGATAAAGTTCCATAGACAATACTTGGCACTCAGTTGTTAATCATTGAACGACTGAATCGGAGTTTTGCAACCTCATCTGGCCCAGAAGCAATTCTTACATGAATCAAACGTGGGCACTCCTTCACACTGACTTGGCTACGCTGGCAATGTGGGCACCTTGAGGCGGTCTCCACGGAATGTACTGGCTCTGGTTCATGGTTCTGCTGACAAGTGGACATCTTACTTGCTACTCCCTGGATCTACGCTGGTCGCTAGATCGGTCTTCAACCAAACTTTGCCGTAAATTCCGGATTCAAGCAATGGACGTTGGAAGTGGTTAGCCAGACCCAAAATCTTTGCTGAAATCTGACGAAACACTCAAGGCTCATATTTCAGTTCAACCAGGCAGGGCAATACTTCCAGAGCCAAACCCACAGAACGAGGTAGTCAGAGAAGACAATGAACTCCTTAGACGACTCATACGTTTGCTGTCTAAATCCGAAGAAGATGAACTCTTCGCTCAGGGTACAACGCCAAGTATGTTTATTGCATTCCATTCTGTTCTATGACAGACAAATACCATTCCCAGACTCTCATCGTCAACCATCGTCAAGCGGCTTGCATACGTTTCAGCGATGTAAATGAAGATTGTTTTGATCTAATGGTTTCTTTTACTTATATCACAATAAGCCAAGTCAGAAGGCGACACTACGAGTGCACATCTAAATCGGTCCGGGTCTGTTTTGAGAATTGTAGAAACAGGTATCTTGTTAATCAGACTTTTATGATCTAGCATTGAATATCTTTTACAGCACCTCTCAGGGTCACTCGCCCGCCTAAAATCGATCTTGTGGAGCTGTATAAAAATTTTGAGAGGTGAACTCTCCTTCGAAAACGATGTCTCAGTGCTCACAGTACGGCATGTGATAGGAGTGCATCCAAGCTTAGAGCAAGAGTGAGTGTACTATCTACCTACGGCGAATACACCATTCTAATGGAGGAATAGCTAAGCCAAATGCAGAGAACGTTTGCAGGAACGACGAGAAACGAGGCTGTCTCGCAGGCAACGACGCTCATGTCCGTTCACCTGGGAAACGTTACGAATTATATGAGACAGCAACTTGACACACTCACGGCAGAAGACATAGGACGACCTTCCGAGGGCAAGTCGGCATCATGTTTTCTCTCCAGAACGAATTTCTCTGACGATTAACCATAAATACTAAATAGTATACTCGCGAAATCTTTGCTCTGCCCTTTCCAGCCTTGCACAAGCCTCGTGTTCACTATCTCGGATATTGGAGGAGATCCAATCCGATGAACCATTCATTACTTTGGACAACTGCGACTCACTGGAGCGTTTAACTCAGCTGGCTGAGGTATGTATATGGATCGACTACTGTACTCGATAATGTCAATTGAGAATAAATGGATCACCAGTCAGAATCGCGATGTATCAAAGGTGATTCCTTACTTAGTGGAAGAAGCGCGATTATGTCTAATCCTACTCATGCAGAGATCAAAGCAGGCGACTTCATGAGAATGTCTGGCATTCACTTTCGCGAGCATTTTGGCGAGTTTTCTGTACAGTTCTGCTCAATATGTGATAACGCCAGCGTCTGCCTGACGTCGGCCGTCAAATCCGGTAACAGTGCTCTTCGTAGTCAAAAATTACACTCAACGCCTCTTGCTAGTTATGTTCAACGTGAGGGATCGCAGAGACCGGGAAACGTATGCACGGCAGCTCAGAGTCAGCGTTGCTGTTTTGTTTTCCGTCACCGCAGCTATGATGCTTTCCGTGTCCATTGGAAGAACAGCTTCTGCTCTGGATCTAGCAGTGAGCGGAATATGGCTTATCTCTCTGTCTTGTGGAGTGGCGGCGGGAATCACTGGTACGGCTGGTCTTTTCTTCTCGGAATCGTCGTAAGCATTTAGTTTCTCTTAAGCATACCTGAATCCAGCTTGAGGGGTATTGTATATCGTATAGATCGTTGTACCGTCCTTCGGACTACACCATCGCGTGGATTACAAGAATTGGCGAAATTCTTTTTCTGGTATCGGCGATGCTGTTCTCAACAGGTCTCAATGTTTTTGCTTTTTCTTCCTCACAGGTGAGCCAGAGAAACATCAAGAATGATAACATGGATAAACGCTTGTTCAGGCGGTTGTCGCAAGAGCGATCGTTACTATCTTCACAATATTCCACTTTCTTGGACTTTTCACGCTCTTCATCTGGCTCATACAATCTCGTCAAAGTAATGAGTCGAACATTAAGTCCCATTCGCTATGGTCCACGGCACGCAATCTAGGCCAACTCTCGCTAAGGCCAGTATCAGGTGCTCGGGATTCCGGCGATCCGAAGGATATAGAGAAGGGCGTGCGCCCCAGAACATCTGTTAGGACAGTTGCTCCTCCAATAATCCATGTCACGGACACGGAGCCGGACATGACAACTACTGCACCAACCAATAATCTCACAGATAATCCTGGACACACTCCTCCAGCGAGTCCACAGTACCCCATGGATTCGGACTCGGACTCGGAGCACGATCTCACCTCACTCTCATTCTCTCACGCACATACAAACCTTGTAGTTCCATCTGCACATCGCGTGTCGAGCGATTCAAGCCGCTCGTTACCTGCACTACCGAACGATGTCCAAGTTGCTCGATGTATGGCCTATAGTCCTAATGGGATGTTTTTATGCATAGGAAACAATAGGTTAATGCCTCTCTGATGTCTTCTGTGTGCATATACTTATTTTCATCCTTTCATGCACAAAGTCCTCAGGAACGCTGCACAATATTCAGCACTGATGTGAATCCACTCCCAGGCGAAAGCCTGTTCTATTCTTACTGACAACCTTGATCCTTTACAGTCTCCAGCCATAGTGCTTGGCGAACTTAAACTAACTGACGTTGCAAGACAAATAGAATGGTATTGTATTGCTTTAGAGCCAACCCTGTCGTTTACTGTCTGACGCCGCATGTCTATTCTAGGTCCCAAGATGGAGAAAACATTCTTTTGAGGCTAAGTCATATGATCTACATATGGAATGCAATGGTACGCCCTGTTTCTCCTGCGGTAGATTAAGAGCGCATACTTATTTTCTTGTAGCCATCGGTGTCTGCAAGGCGACCCGTAATAGTCGTTCATCATGAAGCAGACAACATGAAATGGATTCCGAGCAGCGATTGTGAGTCCTCTGAGACGACTATTGAGGCTTGAATTAAGCTAATTCCATGTTGGTCATAGCATTCCTTTCGTGCAAACAGAATATTTTGACAAGCTTCGTGCGTCCTGTCCCTGCTCACGCCGAATCAAGCTCATTACTAAAGTGATAATGAGTAGAAATTTGATGGAACCGTAGGTTTCCCTTTATATCCGTACTATAGACATTCTTAACCTCAAGGTCATTAGCCAACAGGTGCCTTCCATGTTCCAGCTTTGTCGGTTCAGGACATCCTCCCCACAAAAGACGGGCATCGTGTGATCTGTTTGGTTTCGAACATTGCATCTTCTCGATCGGGAAAGAGCTCGTCTTCCCCGCAGAAACTTCTAGGTAGGAGAAGTACTCTTGGACCTTGAGAAATACCAACATGTTATTTCGGCAGTTTATAATTTGGAAAACAAGACCGTGGAACAGTAAGTATTTGGTTCCCATACACATACGAATCAATGCTTTAAGTGTGAGTGTTTTAGGGTAGCGCCAGTCGGTCGTGAAGCACAAAGCATCATTCCATCCTCAATGACACCAGATCACATCCTAGTCAACTTTACTGGAAATGTCAGTAGTATAGAGTGTTCGATATATTAGGCACACTAACGCTATTTCTGCAAACAGACACCTCCACAACTCTGGCGCTATCGAGAGGATACAGATTCGTCTGATCGTCGGACCTCGGCAACTTTCCTCTCTTTCAAACGCACGATGAGCTTCAAGGCTCCATCAGGACACTTTTCAGGACACGGAATCTTAGGCGGTACAGATGACACGTTGATACTCTCACTCGAGGAAGGTATGCAATATCTCTTTATCGGGTGTTCGAACATTCGTGCTCTAACGTGTATGCAAAGTTGGCGACATGTTCATCTTTGATAGAGAATCAGGTCAACCACTCCGTCACGTACAAACGAGTACTTCACGATTCAATGCCTCAGACCGCAAGAGTATAACTGGTTCAGAACAGCAGCCAGGGAGAAATCGATTGCTTGCGCAGTGCGTCGCCTGGGATCCTGATATTCTGGCATTTACCGTGTGCATGGGCTTTGCGGATGGCTCGATCTGGCAATGGAAGCTGCCCTTCGATGCGCTGAGCCAGGAAGATAGTACTGGCTTCTCCGTCGTGACTCTTAGTGATGACGATTCAACAATGATTCGGGCTGCTGACGCGGACAAGGGGCAGAAAGTGGAAGGTGACGGATAAGTTCCATGTTTTTCTGTTGTTTTAGTATATAGAGTGAAACTTGTCATTAAACATTGTCCTTGGTGGACATATAAAGCCATACTTAATGAGAGGTTATGCTTGTTAACAAGTATAATTTTCGTGTCTATAAGTACAATGGTGGACTAAAAATATTATGCTTAATGAGAGGTTATGATTAATGACAGTAATGCTTAATGACAGGTCTCACTGCATGTTTATATTTTGCTTGCAAAGATGATATGCCACAAACCATGAAAGTATAGTTGCTGTTGTTTGGTCCTGGACCTAATGGACCCGGGTCGACCCCATGACTGAACCTGAGGTCCGGGTCACAAAGGGTCCAGTCCAATCATGCCTAGGACAGGTTCAGTTCTGGGTCCAGGAAATACTGTATTTTCCTGGACCAGACTGGACCTTAAGGACTCAGGACTGGACCCAGGACCAATGTTTCTATTTGAATACAAGAACACTCAGTTGAGGTAGTATGTAATTCAGGATGTTTCAAGTTACTCCTCACTTAATACATATATTATGTAGTAGAAATTATAAATAAAATACAGTAGAAATTCAGTATGAAATTGTGTAGAAATGTATTGTAGCATTACAATTTACTTATTTGGAATACATTGGAGTTGAACTACAATTTGCACTCTTTTTGTACACACTCTTTTCTTACAATTCATCTTATACTTATTACTAGCTACATATTACAGAAAAGAATAGACATTAGTTGGCAGTAGAATGCTTGAACTCCTCTACTCACATTGGGGACGTGCTCTTGAGTCAATTGTAATGTAAGTATGAGTATCTCTAGTCCGGGTCATACTCAGACTGGACCTAGACCCAGACCTCAGGTCCGGTCCACCTGCAGTCCATAGAGGTTCGAGTCCGGGTCCTACCTTTACCTGGACCTGAGGAAGAGGTCCAGGTTGCGGTCCAGGTAAAAGGGGGGTGGACTGGACTGTAGCAACTATACATGAAAGTGAACCTTGCCTTGCAAAAATAAAAGTCACAATAGATAAATTAGACTATGATGTATAATTATATTATATCATATGCTAAAACTAATTCTTAAATATGTCTCTAATTGAACAATAGGAATATAGTTTACAGTATCTTTTCATCCTTGGAATGAACTGTCTCTACTTTGAGTAGGACTTTTTTCGTCCGCCCAATTCGATTAGGTAATCCATCTCATGCATTAGTCAGTCATGATCACAGTGAAGACTCTAACACATGTTTCATAACTTCCAAGCAGGAAACCTCAAGTATTTCCAACCAATATTGTAATAAGAAACGAAGGGTACCAGCAACATTATAGCTTTCAAGTCCATCGCAAAAAAGGCTAAATACATGTATGAACTTGTAGACAGTATAATGTAGTACAAGATTTGTAATGTTTCTGTCAGACAATCATTAGTATTATTTAATAATACATTGAAAATTCAAGACTTGCCAGTTAATGTCAGTGACATACAAGTATAATTGTGTCATGTCAACTAAACACAACTGTTGTTAGTGCATTGTAATCTATATAAATGTATTAGATATGTGAAACATAGTTTCAATCAGTGTATCATATGAATTACATTCTAAACAAAATAAATGTAGTACCTTACACTTGAGGAATAATACTGTTTGTCTCATATAAATTCACTACATGGATTATCATTGTATTATAATACTATGACACTTATAATATACACATTGTAATTCAAAGAAAGGAATACAGAGACTTATACTTAAGTGGTAATAATAATTTATAGAATGCAATTCAAATAAAAGGAAAACAAGTCAAGTCAACTATATAAAAAGTCTGAGTAGAGTCTGTGCTTAAAGTTCAATCATGTCTGCATGAGGTTCTTCTAGGTAATCTGTGATTGTGCCAGTCCTTATCTAACATATGCTACGAATGCGACTCTCTAATACAAGATACTTCGCTATTAATGTAGCCTTACTGCCAGTGCCAAACTTTTGCAACAGATGTCCTGAAGGCTGAACATGTAAGGAATTAGTAAAGAATTTGTAGCCTTAATTTATTATTGTGTTATATTATTACAATAGAACTAACTGTATTTATAATATATTTTATAATAGATACAATGTATCTATAACCAAATATTCAATGTGTATAAATTATTTGAGCACACGCTCTTCCTCCGCCCTTTGCTTATGTAATCGAAGCTGAGAATCGAGAGCATATAATGATGCATTTCTCTTCGTCACTCCTTTACCTCCTACCTTCACCATCTCCCCAACCCTCTGTCCCCAACGCTATGTTGTTGCTTCTGTTCTCTGAGTCTCTAGTCAAGTCCTCTGCTTGCAAGCGTCCTACCAGCAGGCACTCTGCCTGCAACAACATAGGCAATAGACATCACTGCACTCGTCTCTCCAACCCGCCACTGCGATGCCCGCGCTGGGCCTCAGATCCCGCGATGATGCCACCCAGCTGATTACACCGTCCTTCAACGTAAAGCGTAAGCAGCCAGTCTACTTCATGATAATCTGCACAATAGTTGCTCATCCTTCTCCTCTCCCAACTTTTTGTCTGCCTTCTGTCCCTCTCGCTCCTCGCTCTGTCTCTTGCGTCGCCTCCTCTTTGTTGTCCTTTTTTTACGTTCGCCTTCCTTTTTACATTCGCATTTGCACATCTACATTATTGATCAACACCGAACGACTTCTTCAATAATTCCATGCATTTGCATACTCCTTTCCGTTGTGCAGCGCAAGCAATACTGTAATCGACGAGCACACGCTCGCAACAATGTACATGTACGTCTACTCCCATTATGCCACCCTCTCTTACTCCGTACGCATTCTCTTTCCCCACTCGTTCAATGTTTGACATCACTCACGATAGGCCCACACTGCGCGCATTTACATTCCTCTGTGCCAAGCATGACATCACACATTGAACAGAAGCAGTGTCCCACTGCTCCCACCTGTCCAAGTTGAGTCCGTCCACACTTTCCACTTCACTATCTTTCTTCTTTTAAGAACGTCCCAGAGATACACTCTTGCAACCTACGACTCAGCTCACTGTACCTCCCATTGAACGTTGAGGTCAGAGCATGCAACGTGCACATATCGACACAGGCTTTGCCTGCTGCTCAAACCAGCTTGTTCAATGCTCTGGATCTCAACCCTAGTGTACCACTCACACTCGCTACACACTGTTGTGGTGAATCCATCTCTTTGCTTCAATTATCCACATGTGCTAACATTTCCGTCCCCCCTGACAAGTCAATCTCCCAACCTGTCTCTCAAGCACAACCTCAATCTCCACAACCTGTATAACCCCACAACTCACTCACATATGCAATTCAACTTGTAGGTACCAAGCAGCGACCAAAGCACAGTGAAGAAGACTACATCAATCAGCCCGACAACACATTTGTCCTTCTGGAGCGAATGCTGCTTGTGAAATCAAAAGAAGAATTCTGGTTTGTCTATTACCTGATATAAATATTGTAGATAGCATTACATGTATATTAGCTATTTAATATATTATATTTTAAATATATAAATGGTGTGACAAGGTGCTTATTATATGAGCTAGCCTTACAGTACTATATTATACCTATAAGTTCATACAAGAATCTACCAGCTATTACAGAAATCTAGAAGAATATTACTGTATTGTCATATTGGAGGAGGAATACATACACTTTTAGTTATCTACAAGACACATCTTACTGTTTATTAAATATATGTTGTATAAGTCCTGTAGTTCTTATAGTATCTTGTAGTTGTATGTCATTTTGGAAGTGGGGTACATGTACAGGTATATAATTCACAAATTTTATATAATTTACTAGCATATATGACCAAACAAGAGCTTAGCCTTTTTTGCAATACTCTGTCCTTAGCTTCTTTTTAGTTAGGATCAGACAGCTTTAAGGTGGTTATACTAATGGACTGATTGGTGAACTCCTCTCAAAGAAGAATTTGTGACAATATCAGTTGTGCCTTTGATAACAACTAGTTCCTGTAAGAGGAGAAGCTTCTATAAATCTGTTAGGGTGTTGAGTAGTGATCTTGAAGCTAGCTAACACTGAATTATCTGAGGCATAATGCATTAAAGACTCAGATTCAAAGCTATCAGTTAGTAAGAAGCTTATATGAATAGGACAATTTATCCTAGATCACTATTATGATTACAGGCAGTATGACTCTTAAAAAAACAATGTTCTGTAATGTAAGATGTTTGTGTGTAGATGATTTAGAACAAGACTGCTTACATGTCAGGGAAAAGTCCATTTTATTATATAGCTTTATAGTTCTTATATAGTAGAATACACATTATTTATAAATTATATAGTAACTGTAAGAATTTTAATAAGGTTATAAAGTAAAGATAATTCTTATACATCTTATAAAGGTTCTAAAAGTATTATTAATGAATATAATACAGTATATGTATTATAATAGCTTTAAATATTGAGTAAATATATTTTAACAAAAATATATTGAGAGTAAATACTTTATTATAGTATTTTACTTAAAGAAAAAGACTTGTATCTACTATATA